ACTGTACCTGGAAGATATCAACTGGGCTCTCCTCTCCACTCCATGGATTTTGGCTCAAATGTCAACTTATCAGAGAGACTTCCCATGACCACTGATGTAAATAGCACCTCTTCTCTCAGGCCCCGATCTCAGCTCCATCTCTCTCTAAACCCACACCCATGCTCTTGTTAACCATGGCACTTACAGCCACTGGAGACCTTAGTACTGACCTGCTGTCTCCTATTATCTCCCTCCCAGTCTCCCCTCAACATCGGCACCATAAGGGTATTTATTTTGCCTTCTGTTCACTTTTTCCCAGTGTACATTCTTTTCCATTAGACCTGTAGAAGTCTTTTAGAACAGAAACATGGGCCAGAATGGGACATGGAAGAGGCACTTAATGAATATTTTTGCATAGACAAAGTCCCTGGACCCTGAAGTGTCACGCAGTACTTAAATGCTTCTGTTCCTATCACTAGCTTATCTGCACTGCTTCACTAGTAACTGAAGAAACACGTGTTACAGAATGGTTGTCTAAAGAGGGAAATTATTCCGTGAAATGTGACTTGATTCACCTATTTAACTTAACCCTGGGTCCTGCTGATTATTTATTTTGAATATTTGGGTGATTAAAATCTCGGGCTCTAGAGTCAAACAGAACGCACCCTTCACCCTCCCATCATTGCATGACCATCTTAAGCAATTTGCCTAACTGCAGTAAGCCCCAGTTTCTTCATCATACCGTAGAGGTGAARATAAAATACTTTGTTTCTAAGTTGTTGGTAGTGGGGAAACACTGAAAACTTTCCCTTTGAGATCAAGCACCCCACAAAAATGCCCATAATCACCGTTTATATCAATATTGCACTGCAGGCAAAGCCCAAGAAAGAAAAGTAAGTGAGAGAATGTCTAAAAACAAAAACACAGCACAGCCGTCGTTTAAAGAGGTATAATTGTGTACGTCAAAAGACAGTGTTTTCCCTGTACTCTACACAAATGTGACTGCTTGAAACACAATATTGGTAAAACACAATTCTGGTAGCACTGAAAGAGAAAGGTGGGCTTCAAGCCTTGTTTTGTAAGGGCAGGCATGGTTTCTCTCTGGAGTGAACCTGGGTCCTGTAGAACCTGTGGCCAGGCTCTGTGGTCCTGTGGCCACAAGCAGTGGTACGTCTTGTGYTCTTGACACCAGAGCACATCATTTTTTAAAAATATTTTTAAGTTGTAGATGGACACAATACCTTTATTTATTTTTATGTGGTGCTGAGGACTGAACCCAGTGCCTCACACATGCAAGGCGTGCGCATTCTACCACTGAACCACAACCCCAGCACCAGAGCACATCATTTTTAATGCGCCTTTCTCCATTCCTAGAACTGTTTACATCTAAATGTCAACTCTAAGTTGACTTCTTTCGGAGTACAAACATCCTCTTTCACCTTAACCACATTTTCTCTCTTCAGAACTTATTTATCTTTCACCTTTGGTCGTGACCGGGATCCCGTTCTTTGACCCCTCCTACTTCTTTCTACCTGTGATTTGAGTCTGCATGCCCCTGAACTCCAGATTTCACTAGTCAGCAGCTTCAAAACCCTTGCTCCATTGAGTTCCCATAACCTTTCACTGTCCCATAACTCCTTGTCTCAGGAAAAGTTGTAGAATATAAGAACGACAACAAAAGATATGAAGATAAAAGTCTGCAGACTTCAAATGACCTGTTTAGATGACACAAAAATATAGGTGACTTCACCAGGTTCTTTTGTGACCACTCATGGGGATCTTCAGCCACTTGACATGGGAACAGTGAAATCAGTGGTAAACCTTCCATGCCTGAGATCCATGCTATTGAGGCCAACGGCCATTCAGACCAGATTATTTTCACGGTGTTAAATATTCATTTCCATTTTAAGATTCTCAAATTACATTTCAAAACTCAGGAATACTAGGAAATACTCTAGGGACTAAATTAAGTTCTAAGTAGGCAGAGACCATGACCAGTCTACACCCTGGTAGGGCACAGAAGCTTCCTAATTCCTCTTGACCTCTGCCTCCTCTTATTCTCTTCTGCCCTACATCCTACAGCTAAGATAACTTTTCTAAATCATAGCTTTATTTATATGATTACCATAATTAGAAATGGTTATCAATTATATATCATAATTCACTATGGCCTGGTTCAGCATTCAGCATCACCAGGATTTCCTTTCAGTCTCCTTTGCCTGTGTCTCCCCTCTAAATGCACAGATTCTCCCCCTTAGGTGTGACCACCTGGGGTGTTCTGTTTGTAGCTCCCTGGTGGCACCCATTTTATTCTGATTTCTTGCKTTAGATGTGACTGATTCCTCCCACGTGCTCCGTTAGACTTTTAGAAGTCTTTTAGAACAGAATCTGTATCCTGCTCATCTTTGGATTCCCTTTAGCACAAAGTACACGAGTGCATATTAGGTACTAAATAATAATAATAATGCTAACTTCAGTTGAGCTCAGCAGGGGCTTATTTTTGTTATCTCTTCATTTCCTGAAGAGGCATACCACATAATTCCTACAGCCACATTCCAGGTAGCCAGCTAAAATAATGTAGCATCTGTACTGTCCACACTCAGACTGTGCATAATTTTTTCTAATGTCCTTCAGATCCTGAAATCTGGCTCAGAGATGTCATGCATGCTCTAGAATGCTCGTCTCTTCATTAACAATCTTTCTATTCAGCTTATAATCSACATGACTCGAAGTTCTGGCTGTACTTGCACTTGGAAATGGATCTACACCAGTTGGGCTTTAGTCTTATCAGTTAACCTGCAGTTTTTCAGCATCTGGGGTATGGTTCCTCCTCACTGAGTGAGAGTGACCTTGTCCACATCGTCCACAGGTAGCCCACGTTGTACATATGTATGAAGTGATGCACCCTGTGATTCACCACCACAGGCATGGCCCTGGCCAAAATATCACTTGAAAAAGAAAGGCAGATCCCAGAGTGACGCTGAGATGCAACAAGCACTCCATTAACTTCATCACCTCTCTTCCCGCTACACTTTGTGGAAAGACCATGATGAATCCCTAGAGCTTGAAAGTCTGAAACTCTGCAGAGTAGAAAAGCAATATGATGCAATTAACTCTCTCTCTCTCTCTCTCTCTCTCTCTCTCTCTCTCTCTTTTAATAGCTTTCACTACAGGGAGAAATGTCTACAAGGAGTTTTAAATTCAGTATCAAATTCTAGCAAGCACAATTTTAATTGCATACCAACTGCAAAATATTTCTTTCATTGTTTAAATAAAAGAAAGGCTATAATACATGCTGTCTGCTTGTTTCAGGACTCAGTTATTAACCTTTAAACATCTTTTCGAGGATAAAAGCCTCTTTCTCCAACAAACACATCTTGAAACTGGGAATCAAAAATTAATCTGAAAATTTAACTTCTATCTTGGACCTTGTAGAAACCCCAATTCCTGATATAAAAACACCCTGAGCAGTGTTTCAGACACAGAAATTCCAGAGCTTTTTTTTTCCATTGGCAACTCAAAACCAATATTTGTTTAGAAGTCACAAGAATGAAAAGCTACCTTTCTCCAACATGCAAACACGTTAAGAAAATACACAATATGCAATTTGATTACTCAACAGCAAGTCATCAAAAATACAAGCAAAGGCTGGGCTGCTGTTTCCATAGAGATGACTTTATTCTGGTTCAGTTCTTTTGGGAATTTGATCAAATCCTCAGCAGCAGGAGAAAATCATCAGCAAAAATTCTGTAACACATAGTAAGTAACCGCCAACAAATCAGTGAGGGGAAAATACTTCCATATTCTCTTCCTCTCTATTGAGAGAAGCACCCTCACCTCAAGCTGTTCCAAGAAGCACCCAGATTTTGTTGGTCACTCTGCATGTAATTCAAAGCTAAAGAACACCAGGTTTCCTCATTCTTAGATTAAAAGAGYTATTGCTGCCCCGCCAAGCTCCATAGCACTTGCATTCCCAGGATGGCGTTTAGACAGAGACGAGAACTGCATTCATCTTCCCATGACTCTCAGGCTATGGATCCTAAAGGAAAACTCTCCATCTGCAGGGTTATCTCTTGGGAAAGACTATAAAAGGAATTTTAGTATCTATGGTGCTTAGGAAACTATGCTCATTATATGGGGGTGAGTGGAGGGGAGGTGTCGGAAACTTTTTTAGTTCTACTCATAGATTAAAGTAAGAATTTTTAACAGGAAAATAATAGCTAAAATAGATGTAGTACTTTTTATTATTTTCTTCAATCCCAATCCTCTATCTGAAAGGATTTTTCTAAGCATCAAATTTGAGGTCATTTAAATCAAGATACCTAAATTCTCTCTTCATTATATCATAAGAACAAAAATTGCTATCAATATGCAATTGGTAATCAATATTCAATGAAAATAGTTCTCTCAGAATAAAGAAATACCTCCAAAGACAAGGACGCATTACCTTCCAAGGAGCCTGCTCTATACAGACAGCTCATGAAATCAAAAAGAAGATTCTTATGCTGAACCTAGTACCTCTTTTTCACTTGTACCACTGACCTTAATTTACAGTTCCAAGGAGACACAAGTAAGCCCAATCCTTGGTCCACACAATGACAGGTCCTGAGTCTGAGGCCAGCCTGAGTCTCCTCTTTCAATCCCACCATCTGATCTTCACCCTTCATTCTTCAATGGGCCATTTCTCTTCCCCTCCCCACTTCACTATCACGAGCTCCAGAGAATGGAACCAAAACCAGAGTCCAGCTTTTCCTTAAACTAGTGGAAAGATATTATATCATGACCACATGTCTCCGTTTTAAGCATTTGTTTAATAACACTAAGAGCAGGTCATTAGTGAAACAGGGAAACTACCCAAGCAGCATGAGGCTTGGCCCCACTTGATCATGTAAATTTAAATCACCATTCATGAGTTACAAATGCACACTCATCTGCTACAAATTCAAATTAGAGTCACACACACACACACACACACACACACACACACACTCTAAATAATTGTACATGCTTTCTTAGTTTACCTTTCTCCATCACCCTTGATCCAGGAGCCTTGTCTGGGACAGTGAGATGATCTTGATTGCTACTCAGTGAAGAAGTGTCATCACTAGACAAAGAGTTCAAAAACCCACTTTCGGATGTGACCAAGCTGGTGTCCAGGGCCTTGCAACTGGCAGCCTCTGAGGGTGCGGGGGCATGGACCTGCACGGCAAAGGCGAGTGCGTGTCCCGCATCTCCAGCAGCAGGTGAGCTGTTCACGATGTCCAGCCAGGACTGTCTTTCTTTAGATCCCGAGGAAGAACCGCTGCTGGCCGTCTTCATTGTATTTTCCAGGGAAGAGAAAGAACACGATGTTTCACTCAATTTGGGTGAGGACGAAGATGCCCGCTGGGCAGCCTATTTCCACAAATAAAACCAAGAGAGAATAAAATAAATGGTGATCCAACCGTCAGTCTCTGTCCTTATTTTTAATATAGGCATCCTGCTGTTGTTTCAAAAGGTGACCAAGAATAAGAGAATAGAAGGACAAACCCATGCTATTCATTTCCATCTGGCAGCCATTGAGATCCCATTCTCTAAAACTGATCCGTAGAACTCTGATTTTGCCATGCAAGGATCTGAAAAATCTCCACATCACTCTATTATTCAGTGTTCTCCAGAAACTTAAAATGACTTTTGGGGGCACTCTATAGAATACTGAAGTACACCTTGAGCAAAACAATATAATTTGTAATCTGTCATTCAATGCACACAGATGGAGCAAAACCTCTAGAGAAAGGTGATTAAGAGAAAGACAGCAGGGCTCTGGGGTGCAGCTCAGGGGGAGAACACTTGGCTGGCATCTGCAATGCCCTGGGCTCCATCCCCAACACTGAAAGGGGACGGGCAGCAACAGCTGGAGCCAGACAGAAAGCCTGGTCATGTTGATGAGTGCCCAGGATCGTGGCCCACATGTTCCTCAGCACATGACCAGTGTCAAGTCATAACTACCCAGGTGAGGCGCGAGGACATTAACTCACCCTTCAATCTCTTAAAAACATTTAATAAAATTTCGAGGAGGAAGACAAGAATAAGCAGCCTCTCAATTCTTTCATAAGACACCAAAAGCGGCACCACGGAGAAGGGGAAGGGGGTTGATGACGTGGGATCTTCTGGGTCTTCTCTGCAGGGAGTTCTTTTTAATGTTCTATGTAGCAACTCTGTGCTGTTCCTCCACTGTTCATTTTATTGGTCAATAAAACCCCCAAATTAGACTCTCATATTCTCTGGACCACCTTGTATCTCCAAAGGCATAAGACAAGAAGGGATTTTTATAATTTCGTTTTATCACTCTTTATAGCCTGCTATTAGTTAGATACTGTATACCTATTGGTTTCAAGAACTCAAATCTCAAAGGAGGCAGCTGGAAGGAGATTTATTAAAGAGAATACGCAAAAGAGCAAACTAGGATCCTCTCCCCAAATCTCAAAATCATTGCAACTAACTTCTTCAGCGTGGCTAACTTTGTTCCAAATTAGCATGGCCCCCTGAATTCTGCAGGTGCTAAACTCAGAATTTTTATTGGGAAAAATCCAGTATTTATTCAACATGTACCAAACTGAATGCATAGGAAACATGTATTATTACATATTGAATCTTTTAAAGAAACATGACATTAAAATATCTATTTCAGATGCAAACCGATCACACCCATCTTCTCAATAGTAAAATACTGGCACAGACATGAAAATGTTCCATTCAAGAATGTGTCAAGTGGCTTGAGAACTGGCTACCTTAAACCACAGAGGCCATTTAATCACTAAGAGATTACAGATCTGTAACTCACTAAATAAAGGCTTAGTTATCTGGAGGAGGGAACCCACAAGCCCTAAATGCTCCAAATAAATGTCATGAATAGTTCACTTATTAACAGGATCTACAAAATACATATTAACAAAAATACCCATGCTGGCCCAGCCCTGACACGTTCCCCTGATTGTGAGCTATTTTGGTAAAAGTTGGCTTCCACGTGATCAACTTCCTTTTTTTGAAAAGAGACCAAGCGTGAGCTTTTCCTGTTGCTCCTGCCGACACTACTTTAATTGGATTAGAGCAAAATGGGCTATTTGAGAAAAAGATTGTGTACTCAGTTGCCGGGATACTTTCCATAAGGTTTTCTAAACCTCAACAAACTGTTTAAAGGACTAAAGAAAGATGTGTAAGATGAGAATCGGATAAGCCTGTGGAGTGTTCTATATTCCTGTTGGGTGCTACTCCAACAAAATGCAAATTATCAGTGCAATTTCCCCAGGCACCCTGTAACGCTGATGAAATGGAGAAAAAGATTAAAGAAAGAAAGAACTAAAATTCTGTAGTTACCAGTGGCCAGTACCAAGCACAGAAATCTTAGGTCAGTGCCTTGGTGAAGCATCTCTGCAATATACTCATAAAACTCCCAAGTGCCAGTGAAGGTAGAAAGGAGGGACAGACTCTTTTTCCACCCCATCTCTGTTTGACTGASAGGAGCCCATCCTCCTGTCAGTTCAAATGCCAGCTCCTCCAGGAAGCCTTCTCTGAAAACTTCAGGGCCTGATAGATACCTATGCCTGGTGCTCCTGGGCTTACCTCCAGCATAGCCAGTAAATGCCATTTTATTTGTTACCTTATATTGCAATTGCTGATGGACTGCTAACCTTTCTTGGTAAGCTTCTTGAGAACAGGCTATTTTTAGTCATTTCTGAACCTCCATTTTTTTTGCATCTGTGCCTGATACATAGTTGGTAACAAATTAATGCCAGCAAAGAATGAATGAGAGAACCAACTATATAGAAAAAAGCTCCCCAGAATAGTTTAGTCCCTTACTGAAGATTCCCTGAAATTCTCTCTAGAGTTGCTAAAGGTATTTTATCCTAATTCCAAGATCAATAACTCTATGTGGTTTCATCCATTTAAAAATATTCAGGTTTGTTCAGAGACCCTGTGTCTAATAGAAGAAAAAGTAGGCCCTAATCTCCATCATGTGGGATTAGGCCCTAACTTCCTTAATAAGACTCCTTTGGCGCAAGAATTAAAATCAAGAATCAATAAATGGGATGCACTCAAGCTAAAAGGTTTCTGTGCAGCAAAAGAAACAATCTGTGAGGTGAAAAGAGAGCCTACATCTTGGGAGCAAATCTTTACCCCTCACACATCAGATAGAGCACTAATCTCTAGGGTATATAAAGAATTCAAAAAGTTAAACACCAAAAAAACAACCCAATCAATAAATGGGTCAAGGACCTGAACAGACACTTCTCAGAAGAGGACATACAATCAATCAACAAATACATTAAACAATGTTCATCATCACTAGCAATTAGAGAAATGCAAATCAAAACTACTCTAAGATTTCATCTCACTCCAGTCAGAATGGCAGCTATTATGAAGACAAACAACAATAAGTGTTGGAAAGGCACACTCATACATTGCTGGTGGGACTGTAAATTGCTGCAGCCAATATGGAAAGCAGTATAGAGATTTCTTTAAAAATTAGGAGCGGAACCACTATTTGACCCAGCTATCCCTCTCCTCAGTCTAAACCCAAAGGACTTAAAAACAGTATACTACAGGGACACAGCCACATCAATGTTTATTTCAGCACAATTCACAACAGCTAAACTGTGGAACCAAACAAGACGCCCTTCAATAGATGAATGGATAAAAAAAAAATGTGGCATATACAATGAAATATTACTCAGCAATAAAAGAGAATGAAATCGTGGCATTTGCAGGTAAATGGATGGAGAAGACAATGCTAAGTGAAGTTAGCCAATCCCCAAAAACAAATGCCAAATGTTTTCTCTGATATAAGGAGGCTGATTTGTAGTGGAGTAGGGAGAGGGAGCATGGGAAGAACAGAAGAACTCTAGATAGGGCAGAGGGGTGGGAGGGGAGGGAAGGGGCACGGGGTTAGAAATGATGGTGGAATGTGATGGACATTATTATCCAAAGTACATGTATAAAGATGTTAATTGGTGTGAATATACTTTGTGTACAACCAGAGACATGAAAAATTGTGCTCTATATGTGTAATAAAAATTGTAATGCATTCCACTGTCACATATAAATGAAATTTAATTAAAAAATAAAAACAAAATAAATAAATAAAAATATTCAGGTTTGAAATGTTTTAAATTTTGATGATAAAATTAAAGACATTATAAAGATCTTGGTTTTACTTAAGAAACTTTGGTAAGATTAAGCTTAAAAACTAAAATTGATTTTTCCTATTTTCTGCATAGGATACTTTTATTTATTGAAGGAGTTAAATTCAAATTATAGTTAGCTCTAAAATCTTTTTCTCTGAATTGTTTTCAAAACACAAGTTTGACATGGTGAAAAACAGTTTAAAATAACCACCAAAGGCCTGTAATTAGGAAGAAGTGATTCAGTATATAAATCTGAAGTAACATTAGTCAAGTACATTAAAAAAAAAAGAAATGGAGGAATCATTTAATACTAAGCATAATAAAATCAAACAAGAAAAAGGGAAGGAAAGTACACAGACATTCTTTCCTTTATTGCCTTTTAATAGAAACAGAGCAGTCCACTGTCATCGATCCCTAGGAGGCATGGTGTGTGTATTCTCCCATAAGTTAGGAGAAGCAATGCCCTAACACACAGATGACCACATACAGTTCACAGCCTCCTCCTCACTGACTTTCTGTATGACCTTGGGCATGAGCTGGCAGGGATCCACTCCTCACTCCAATCTTCAGTATCTAAGTGACCTTGGAGAAGTCACTTTACCTCCAAGCCCTATTCTACTGGTTTCTGCCTACACTATTGTCCCTTCCCTGGGCATCCCCCAATAACAGCAAGAGCATTTCTAAAGCACAATCCAAAACATGATATTCCTCCACTGAAAGGAGGATATTCCTCCAATAACTGCCCATCACCAGTACAAAAATATGCACTGTCATCATGAGAACTGAGGAGGCTCACGGGGACCCCTGCATACCTCTCTACCACACCTCCTTCCATGTCCCCTCCACCTATCCTTTCTGGTCATGTTTTCCCCCTTTCTGTCCCTTCAGTGCATCTGTGGTGACTGACAGGCCCCTCCTGTAAATTCCTGATTGGCTGCCTCCTCCCTATCACTTTGACCTCGACTCATATATCACTTCTTCCGGAGGGTTTCCCTATCACGGTGCACAAAACAGCCCCAACCACTCCTTAGGACATTATCCCATTTTATCTGCTTCACAACACTTATTAGTATTTGAAATAATTTGTTTGAACTAGCAATTTATTGTCCCTCTTTTCAGCTTAGAACTTAAGATGCTCAAGGGAGGGGACATTGTCCAGTTCTGCATTTCCTTATCCCCAGCAGGATCTGGCATGTGGAACATTCATGAAAATTTCATCAGCTTCCTGAC